AGGGCAGAAATTGGCCCTTGGAACAAACTGAAAAAATCATTATGGCCCGAAGGCTTCAAACTTTGGAGACCCCTGCACTAGAGGATTGTTCTAATTTGAAATAAAGATTTTTGACAGTTCTCACCTGTTTTAATATTTTCTCTGTCATTTGGCACTGTAGAGCTACTCTCAATGTTCGTTGTGTTCTGACCAAAACACGGGTTATCCCTAATGGAAACCACCTGATGCATTTGTTTTGAGGAAGGCATTTGGTGAGCTGGAGTTGAGGGCGTAAAAGGTGGTGGAATAACTCCTTGAGAATGTGTGCTGTGGCTAGGACTAGGGCTATTTTGAAGAACCTAAGAAATATTATCGATGAGTTCCATGTATCAAATAAGTCCTGTAGTTTCGAAACCATATAAGTCACAAAATTGATAATATTGATACGAATTTTTTGTATAATAAATATTTCAACTCGAAATCTGTAAGTTTTCTGTAACATCCCTATAGCTCACAAGGATATATGAAAAAATATTTGGTTTCATTGGAAAACAGCTATTTTATAATTTTTTGTGTCCGGAAAAATTTGTTGAAAATAACGTATCTGGTTTTGAAACTAGACGTCTTAAATATCAATGTGAATTAATACAAATGCTAATTGAAGACGAAATAAAAGAAAATCAGTATCTGAGCTCCAAAATTGATATGAAAACATATAAACTTGTACTGAATAATTTCACTGATGAGAATAGAAGAATTAAAAGTTCAACAGTAAAAAATCTTGTCAGCAATTCCTACTATGTAGAAAATTTGAATCTGAAAGGCCTAAATATTTGAAATTTGTGAGACAGTCATTTTTTGTTAGAATAGGTGAAGGACAATCAAATACCAATCCTAATGCTTCAAAATCATTTTTTGAATTTTCAAATGTTTCATTCATGTTTTTGGAACCACATTAGATAAAAAGTAAGTGAGGTATTGAGCATTCATGGCTTTATAGTTCGCAATTGTAGATCTTTTACAAACATATTTACTCTATTTCCTCTTTATGTACCTAGCCTACGTAAGGTCAAAATTAAAATATGGTTCTGTTCTTTGATCTCCATTCTACAATTGCTATAATACATTAATTGAAAAAGTTCAACGTAGTTTCCTAAAGTTTCCTAAAGCACAACAAGGTGGATGCTATGGAGGTGTTATCTTTTATAAATTTCTGTGTGCCTCATTTTAGAACTAGAGGTACAAAAACTTTATCATCTTTAGCATTTGCAATAATTTCAATTTAATTTCAAATTTGTGTGATATCAATTTTGATTCCCTAAAATATATTTTTGACATTGCATCTCAGTATTTCTTTGAGAATTTTTAATTTTCTGGTATAGTCTTTTTTATTTTATTTCATTATATTATAATTTTGTTATTCATTTTCTCAAATT